TTTCTGTCATGAATAATAAACTAATAGGATATCTAATCCTTTTTCGTAATCGAAAACCACGATGGGCTGAAATACCTCTTTTTTTTTTACAAGGAGTATTTTATTAAAGTATTTAAGTTATTACTCAACAAATAGAAATTTAAATTTGTAAAGGATGAGATGAATTCCGAAGCGCTTTTTTTAATTCTTAGAATTTGAGCAGACAGAATTCCATTGGTATAATTTGGGACCCCAGATATATTTATATTTCATTTATTTTAGAACACATCATATCCATCTAAATAATACTAATCTGGTCCTTAGATTTATTTATGACCCCCGAGGAGCCGTATGAGGCGAAGACCTCATGTACGGTTTTGTAATAGCGGTGAGAATAGTAATGTTATCACCGACTAGGATTATCTAACAGTTTAAGTACAGTTGATATAGTTGAGGCACAATCAAAATATGGTTTTTGGGGATGGAATTTGTGGCGTCAACCTATAGGTTTTCTCATTTTTCTAATTTCTTCCCTAGCAGAATGCGAGAGGTTACCGTTTGATTTACCAGAAGCGGAAGAGGAATTAATAGCAGGTTATCAAACTGAATATTCAGGTATCAAATTTGGTTTATTTTACGTTGCTTCTTATCTAAATCTATTAATTTCCTCATTATTTGTAACAGTTTTATACTTAGGCGGTTGGAATATTTCTATCCCGTATATATCTATTTTGGAGCTATTTGAAAGGGATCAAATTTTTGGAACAACAATTGGTATTTTTATTACATTAGCGAAAACTTATTTGTTCTTGTTCATTTCTATCGCAACAAGATGGACTTTACCTAGGCTAAGAATGGATCAACTATTAAATCTTGGATGGAAATTTCTTTTACCTATTTCCCTTGGTAATCTATTATTAACAACTTCTTTCCAACTCTTTTCACTCTAAATTGCAAACGAATCCAACGGATTCATTACTTGTTTTAACCAAGAGAAAGAAACAAAGAAAATTATTCATAGATAATTACAATATGCTTCCTATGATAATTGGGTTCATGAATTATGGTCAACAAACCCTACGAGCTGCAAGGTATATTGGTCAAGGTTTCACGATTACCTTATCCCACACAAATCGTTTACCTGTAACTATTCAATATCCCTATGAAAAATTAATAACATCGGAACGTTTCCGCGGTCGAATCCATTTCGAATTTGATAAATGCATTGCTTGTGAAGTATGTGTTCGAGTATGTCCTATAGATCTTGCCTGTTGTTGATTGGAAATTGGAAACTAATATTCGAAAAAAACGATTGCTTAATTACAGTATTGATTTTGGAATTTGTATATTTTGTGGTAATTGTGTTGAGTATTGTCCAACAAATTGTTTGTCAATGACTGAAGAATATGAATTTTCAACTTATGATCGCCACGAATTGAATTATAATCAAATAGCTTTAGGTCGTTTACCAATGTCAGTAATTGACGATTACACCATTCGAACAATTTTGAATTCACCTCAAAAAAAAAACGGATAAACCCATCAATTTTATAAAAAAAAAAGAATTCAAAATTATTGAATTATATAAAAAATTAAATGAAAAACTTGTATATTATTTATATAAGAATATTAAGTATTAAGGCTCATTCTTTTAATATATTCGTAATTACTTTCTTGAAATAGTGGACCAAATTTGGGAACCGGAAGAGGTAAGGAGTCCGAAATGTACCTCTGTGACTCCACATTGTGGAAACTCACTTGTAGTGTATAAGATGAACTAGATGGACCCATACTTACCCAAACATGGATTAATAGGTTCTACACATGACTATGAGGACAAACATGAGTGAAACGGTCTCAATCCAAGGGAGGAACATCAAATGGACCTAATTTGGGAACCGGAAGAGGTAAGGAGTCCGAAATGTACCTCTGTGACTCCACATTGTGGAAACTCACTTGTAGTGTATAAGATGAACTAGATGGACCCATACTTACCCAAACATGGATTAATAGGTTCTCCACATTACTATGAGGACAAACATGAGTGAAACGGTCTCAATCCAAGGGAGGAACATCAAATGGACCTAATTTGGGAACCGGAAGAGGTAAGGAGTCCGAAATGTACCTCTGTGACTCCACATTGTGGAAACTCACTTGTAGTGTATAAGATGAACTAGATGGACCCATACTTACCCAAACATGGATTAATAGGTTCTCCACATGACTATGAGGACAAACATGAGTGAAACGGTCTCAATCCAAGGGAGGAACATCAAATGGACCAAATTTGGGAACCGGAAGAGGTAAGGAGTCCGAAATGTACCTCTGTGACTCCACATTGTGGAAACTCACTTGTAGTGTATAAGATGAACTAGATGGACCCATACTTACCCAAACATGGATTAATAGGTTCTCACATGACTATGAGGACAAACATGAGTGAAACGGTCTCAATCCAAGGGAGGAACATCAAATGGACCTAATTTGGGAACCGGAAGAGGTAAGGAGTCCGAAATGTACCTCTGTGACTCCACATTGTGGAAACTCACTTGTAGTGTATAAGATGAACTAGATGGACCCATACTTACCCAAACATGGATTAATAGGTTCTCCACATGACTATGAGGACAAACATGAGTGAAACGGTCTCAATCCAAGGGAGGAACATCAAATGGACCTAATTTGGGAACCGGAAGAGGTAAGGAGTCCGAAATGTACCTCTGTGACTCCACATTGTGGAAACTCACTTGTAGTGTATAAGATGAACTAGATGGACCCATACTTACCCAAACATGGATTAATAGGTTCTCACATGACTATGAGGACAAACATGAGTGAAACGGTCTCAATCCAAGGGAGGAACATCAAATGGACCTAATTTGGGAACCGGAAGAGGTAAGGAGTCCGAAATGTACCTCTGTGACTCCACATTGTGGAAACTCACTTGTAGTGTATAAGATGAACTAGATGGACCCATACTTACCCAAACATGGATTAATAGGTTCTCACATGACTATGAGGACAAACATGAGTGAAACGGTCTCAATCCAAGGGAGGAACATCAAATGGACCTAATTTGGGAACCGGAAGAGGTAAGGAGTCCGAAATGTACCTCTGTGACTCCACATTGTGGAAACTCACTTGTAGTGTATAAGATGAACTAGATGGACCCATACTTACCCAAACATGGATTAATAGGTTCTACACATGACTATGAGGACAAACATGAGTGAAACGGTCTCAATCCAAGGGAGGAACATCAAATGGACCTAATTTGGGAACCGGAAGAGGTAAGGAGTCCGAAATGTACCTCTGTGACTCCACATTGTGGAAACTCACTTGTAGTGTATAAGATGAACTAGATGGACCCATACTTACCCAAACATGGATTAATAGGTTCTACACATGACTATGAGGACAAACATGAGTGAAACGGTCTCAATCCAAGGGAGGAACATCAAATGGACCTAATTTGGGAACCGGAAGAGGTAAGGAGTCCGAAATGTACCTCTGTGACTCCACATTGTGGAAACTCACTTGTAGTGTATAAGATGAACTAGATGGACCCATACTTACCCAAACATGGATTAATAGGTTCTCACATGACTATGAGGACAAACATGAGTGAAACGGTCTCAATCCAAGGGAGGAACATCAAATGGACCTAATTTGGGAACCGGAAGAGGTAAGGAGTCCGAAATGTACCTCTGTGACTCCACATTGTGGAAACTCACTTGTAGTGTATAAGATGAACTAGATGGACCCATACTTACCCAAACATGGATTAATAGGTTCTACACATGACTATGAGGACAAACATGAGTGAAACGGTCTCAATCCAAGGGAGGAACATCAAATGGACCTAATTTGGGAACCGGAAGAGGTAAGGAGTCCGAAATGTACCTCTGTGACTCCACATTGTGGAAACTCACTTGTAGTGTATAAGATGAACTAGATGGACCCATACTTACCCAAACATGGATTAATAGGTTCTACACATGACTATGAGGACAAACATGAGTGAAACGGTCTCAATCCAAGGGAGGAACATCAAATGGACCTAAATTTGGGAACCGGAAGAGGTAAGGAGTCCGAAATGTACCTCTGTGACTCCACATTGTGGAAACTCACTTGTAGTGTATAAGATGAACTAGATGGACCCATACTTACCCAAACATGGATTAATAGGTTCTACACATGACTATGAGGACAAACATGAGTGAAACGGTCTCAATCCAAGGGAGGAACATCAAATGGACCTAATTTGGGAACCGGAAGAGGTAAGGAGTCCGAAATGTACCTCTGTGACTCCACATTGTGGAAACTCACTTGTAGTGTATAAGATGAACTAGATGGACCCATACTTACCCAAACATGGATTAATAGGTTCTACACATGACTATGAGGACAAACATGAGTGAAACGGTCTCAATCCAAGGGAGGAACATCAAATGGACCTAATTTGGGAACCGGAAGAGGTAAGGAGTCCGAAATGTACCTCTGTGACTCCACATTGTGGAAACTCACTTGTAGTGTATAAGATGAACTAGATGGACCCATACTTACCCAAACATGGATTAATAGGTTCTACACATGACTATGAGGACAAACATGAGTGAAACGGTCTCAATCCAAGGGAGGAACATCAAATGGACCTAATTTGGGAACCGGAAGAGGTAAGGAGTCCGAAATGTACCTCTGTGACTCCACATTGTGGAAACTCACTTGTAGTGTATAAGATGAACTAGATGGACCCATACTTACCCAAACATGGATTAATAGGTTCTCACATGACTATGAGGACAAACATGAGTGAAACGGTCTCAATCCAAGGGAGGAACATCAAATGGACCTAATTTGGGAACCGGAAGAGGTAAGGAGTCCGAAATGTACCTCTGTGACTCCACATTGTGGAAACTCACTTGTAGTGTATAAGATGAACTAGATGGACCCATACTTACCCAAACATGGATTAATAGGTTCTCCACATTACTATGAGGACAAACATGAGTGAAACGGTCTCAATCCAAGGGAGGAACATCAAATGGACCTAATTTGGGAACCGGAAGAGGTAAGGAGTCCGAAATGTACCTCTGTGACTCCACATTGTGGAAACTCACTTGTAGTGTATAAGATGAACTAGATGGACCCATACTTACCCAAACATGGATTAATAGGTTCTCCATGATTACTATGAGGACAAACATGAGTGAAACGGTCTCAATCCAAGGGAGGAACATCAAATGGACCAATTTGGGAACCGGAAGAGGTAAGGAGTCCGAAATGTACCTCTGTGACTCCACATTGTGGAAACTCACTTGTAGTGTATAAGATGAACTAGATGGACCCATACTTACCCAAACATGGATTAATAGGTTCTCACATGACTATGAGGACAAACATGAGTGAAACGGTCTCAATCCAAGGGAGGAACATCAAATGGACCTAATTTGGGAACCGGAAGAGGTAAGGAGTCCGAAATGTACCTCTGTGACTCCACATTGTGGAAACTCACTTGTAGTGTATAAGATGAACTAGATGGACCCATACTTACCCAAACATGGATTAATAGGTTCTACACATGACTATGAGGACAAACATGAGTGAAACGGTCTCAATCCAAGGGAGGAACATCAAATGGACCTAATTTGGGAACCGGAAGAGGTAAGGAGTCCGAAATGTACCTCTGTGACTCCACATTGTGGAAACTCACTTGTAGTGTATAAGATGAACTAGATGGACCCATACTTACCCAAACATGGATTAATAGGTTCTCACATGACTATGAGGACAAACATGAGTGAAACGGTCTCAATCCAAGGGAGGAACATCAAATGGACCTAATTTGGGAACCGGAAGAGGTAAGGAGTCCGAAATGTACCTCTGTGACTCCACATTGTGGAAACTCACTTGTAGTGTATAAGATGAACTAGATGGACCCATACTTACCCAAACATGGATTAATAGGTTCTCACATGACTATGAGGACAAACATGAGTGAAACGGTCTCAATCCAAGGGAGGAACATCAAATGGACCTAATTTGGGAACCGGAAGAGGTAAGGAGTCCGAAATGTACCTCTGTGACTCCACATTGTGGAAACTCACTTGTAGTGTATAAGATGAACTAGATGGACCCATACTTACCCAAACATGGATTAATAGGTTCTACACATGACTATGAGGACAAACATGAGTGAAACGGTCTCAATCCAAGGGAGGAACATCAAATGGACCTAATTTGGGAACCGGAAGAGGTAAGGAGTCCGAAATGTACCTCTGTGACTCCACATTGTGGAAACTCACTTGTAGTGTATAAGATGAACTAGATGGACCCATACTTACCCAAACATGGATTAATAGGTTCTCACATGACTATGAGGACAAACATGAGTGAAACGGTCTCAATCCAAGGGAGGAACATCAAATGGACCTAATTTGGGAACCGGAAGAGGTAAGGAGTCCGAAATGTACCTCTGTGACTCCACATTGTGGAAACTCACTTGTAGTGTATAAGATGAACTAGATGGACCCATACTTACCCAAACATGGATTAATAGGTTCTACACATGACTATGAGGACAAACATGAGTGAAACGGTCTCAATCCAAGGGAGGAACATCAAATGGACCTAATTTGGGAACCGGAAGAGGTAAGGAGTCCGAAATGTACCTCTGTGACTCCACATTGTGGAAACTCACTTGTAGTGTATAAGATGAACTAGATGGACCCATACTTACCCAAACATGGATTAATAGGTTCTACACATGACTATGAGGACAAACATGAGTGAAACGGTCTCAATCCAAGGGAGGAACATCAAATGGACCTAAATTTGGGAACCGGAAGAGGTAAGGAGTCCGAAATGTACCTCTGTGACTCCACATTGTGGAAACTCACTTGTAGTGTATAAGATGAACTAGATGGACCCATACTTACCCAAACATGGATTAATAGGTTCTACACATGACTATGAGGACAAACATGAGTGAAACGGTCTCAATCCAAGGGAGGAACATCAAATGGACCTAATTTGGGAACCGGAAGAGGTAAGGAGTCCGAAATGTACCTCTGTGACTCCACATTGTGGAAACTCACTTGTAGTGTATAAGATGAACTAGATGGACCCATACTTACCCAAACATGGATTAATAGGTTCTACACATGACTATGAGGACAAACATGAGTGAAACGGTCTCAATCCAAGGGAGGAACATCAAATGGACCTAATTTGGGAACCGGAAGAGGTAAGGAGTCCGAAATGTACCTCTGTGACTCCACATTGTGGAAACTCACTTGTAGTGTATAAGATGAACTAGATGGACCCATACTTACCCAAACATGGATTAATAGGTTCTCCACATGACTATGAGGACAAACATGAGTGAAACGGTCTCAATCCAAGGGAGGAACATCAAATGGACCAATTTGGGAACCGGAAGAGGTAAGGAGTCCGAAATGTACCTCTGTGACTCCACATTGTGGAAACTCACTTGTAGTGTATAAGATGAACTAGATGGACCCATACTTACCCAAACATGGATTAATAGGTTCTACACATGACTATGAGGACAAACATGAGTGAAACGGTCTCAATCCAAGGGAGGAACATCAAATGGACCTAATTTGGGAACCGGAAGAGGTAAGGAGTCCGAAATGTACCTCTGTGACTCCACATTGTGGAAACTCACTTGTAGTGTATAAGATGAACTAGATGGACCCATACTTACCCAAACATGGATTAATAGGTTCTCCACATTACTATGAGGACAAACATGAGTGAAACGGTCTCAATCCAAGGGAGGAACATCAAATGGACCTAATTTGGGAACCGGAAGAGGTAAGGAGTCCGAAATGTACCTCTGTGACTCCACATTGTGGAAACTCACTTGTAGTGTATAAGATGAACTAGGGCCATGGATTCTCCGACGGACTCATCGCTCATATCCCTGACATCAATCCCGTCGTCGATGACTGCATCTCCTTCTTCGATGACTTCCGTAAGCGTCAGGAGACGCCGGATCTGCCGTGTTTTCTCTACTCCGAGTCCCTCGGCGGCGCAATCGCGCTCTACATCTCGCTCCGCCAGAAGGGCGTATGGGATGGGCTCATCCTCAACGGCGCCATGTGTGGAATCAGCGCCAAATTCAAGCCGCAGTGGCCGTTGGAGCACTTGCTCTTCGTCGTCGCCAAAGCTATCCCTACCTGGCGCGTCATCCCCACTCGCGGATCTATCCCCGAGGTTTCATTCAAGGAGCCATGGAAGAGGAAGCTCGCGATGGCTAGCCCTAGGAGGACGGTGGCGAGACCGCGCGCCGCCACGGCGTACGAGCTGATCCGTATCTGCAACGAGCTGCAGGGGAGGTTCGAGGAGGTGGAGATTCCGCTTCTGATCGTGCACGGAAGCGGGGACGTCATCTGCGACGTAGAGTGTGTCCAGGAGCTTCACCGCCGAGCAAGCAGCAAGGATAAGACGATCAAGATCTACCCGGAGCTGTGGCATCAAATGATCGGGGAAAAGGAGGAGGATGTCGATCTGGTTTACGGTGACATGCTGACATGGCTCAAGAGCCGAGCGGAAAGCGCCGCTGAGAGGAAAGGTTGAAGCACGCGCCGCCGTTTGAGGGTGGGGGTATAGAGTCCTGTGACAGTGTGACTCCTTGGGAAATGTATTGTCGTCCAATAGGACAGTGCCATCTGGCAAGAAACTATTTATGGTTCTTTGTTTCGTAGCTCATGGTTTACAGTTGAACCAATACCTTTTGAGCATCAATAAAATAAGAAATACAAAATTCTCTATCAATTTCCAGATAACTGTCAAGTGACAACCATCCGATCCTAATTATGTTTGTTGTTTCCGTCAAGAAATGGTTAAATCATAAACGTTGACAAAAAGTAAGAGTTAAATGCAGAACGTGAGTATTATGATATTATCTGTCGTCAGAATTGAATTGAAAACGTAAATCTGATACAAGCAATTTCTCTTACTTGGAAAACCACGTCACCATTGATAGGCTGTAAAATAGGCCCAATAAATTAAGGTAATAGAGGCCCATGAATTCAGTAACAACCCAAAATCACATAAACCCTGCGAAATTCGCCGTGGTTGCAGTCGCCGGCGGCAGGAATGGGGAAGAAGAGCAAGAGAACTCCAGACGAGGCTGAGCTGGAATCGGAGCTAGACCTGAAGACAAGAGTAGACGGAGACTCTAAAAAGAAGAAGCAGAAGAAGAAGAGAAGCCATGGCGATCCGGAGATGGAACCGGAGCAAAAGATGAGCCTCGACGGAGACGTGAAGAAGGAGAAGAAGAAGAAAAAGAAGAGCAAAAGCCAAGATGAGGAGGTTGAGCTTGAGCCGGAGCAAATTAAAACCCAAGAGGAAGTAAAGCAAAATGTAGAAGAAAAGAAAAACGACGAGAGACCCACTGTTAGTATAGCAATAGCTGGTTCCATCATCCACAACACTCAATCACTCGAGCTCGCCTCACGCGTAAGCTCTCTCTCTCTCTCTCTCTCTCAATTCGTTGCTCTGTTATGGCTCCCCGGAAAATTTAAAGTCCTCTCTTCCATTTCTATTAGCAAATTAAACTCCTATCTCTCTAACATTTCTCAGCTCGCCGGCCAAATTTCTCGTGCCGCCACAATTTTCCGAATCGACGAGGTATGTAATTCCTCTTCTTCGCATCCGCAGAGCTAGCGAAACTTACTCGGGCTGCAAAATGTGCTGAATTCAACAGCATTTTGTTTTTGCTTTAATCAGATTGTAGTGTTCGACAATAAGAGCAGCTCAGAAATCGACGCTGATAGCAGTGAAAGTGGTGCCTCGTTTCTGGTTCGTATCTTGAAGTATCTAGAGACACCACAATATTTGAGGAAATCTCTCTTCCCCAAGCAAAACGATCTTAGATATGTGGTGTGTACTACTGACTTTTCGTATCTCTTAATTTCCTTCAGTTTTTCTCACTTTTGTATTCAAATCTATCTTTTCTAGTGTCTCTCTTGACAAGAATATTTTTTGCTTTGTGTGGTTTCATAAAAGGGTATGTTGCCACCTGTTGATGCTCCTCACCATCTGCGTAAGCACGAGTGGGAACAATACCGTGAAGGTACTATTAAAGTTTCACAGGCATCTGATAAGATTGCTTTAATCCCGTGACTTAGCTATTGCAAATTACATCTTTAGAGCTACCATATGAAATGACGTCAAAAAAAAAAAAAAAAGAGCTACCATATGAAAATGGTTTCAGTTTTGTTTCACATTTGTTTTGGAAATGGTAACCTTATAGGTGTGACTCTGAATGAAAAGGCTCCAATATCTGAGGGTACAATGGTTGATGTGGGCTTAAGCAAGGTAACTGTTAGTTCTCTCAAAATTGGAAAATTGCAAACGGATCATTTTATGACCCTTTGTTCTTGATGCAGAGTGTTGTTGTTGATCAAGTGCTTAGTCCAGGAGTTAGAGTCACGGTAGCCATGGGAACCAACCGCGATTTAGGTACTGATAGTCTCTATATTTATTATTATCAAGAAGTCATACTCATTTGTCTTCAAACTTAAGTTAAGATTATTTACCTTGTTTCTCAAATCATGGTTGCATTTATATATTTTGAATTCTGTTCATCTAGATTTGGTACGCCAGATTGTTCCGTCCTCTAAGCCAAGGGAAGAAGCGGGAATGTATTGGGGATACAAAGTACGATATGCATCACACTTGAGTTCAGTATTCAAAGAATGCCCTTTCGAGGTAACAATAACGAGACCCTGCTCCTCATCCTTCTATGAATTAGATCATATGATATGATATGATCCTGCATGACCTTGTTTCCTAATACCAAATAGCAGGGTGGTTACGATTATTTGATTGGTACCTCGGAGCACGGCCTGGTGATCAGTTCATCAGAGCTGAAAATACCAACATTTAGGTGATTCTCTTTGCCCCTAAGATGGTAGAAGTTTATGTCTAAACACATCATTAGCAGTTTGATTTTTGGGGGACTGACTTAATATGGTTGTGGCATGAAACCATAGGCACCTATTGATTGCATTTGGTGGACTTGCTGGGCTTGAAGAAAGTGTTGAAGAAGATAATCAGTATAAGGTAAGTGTGTTTCTTATAAATCTCATATGACCAAGAAAGTTCTATTAGAAACCTCTTATCCCTAACCATATAAGTCAAAACTTCACTTTTTATAGGGCAAAAACGTTCGAGAAGCGTTTGATATAA